CCTCCACACCAAACCTATGCAAGAAGTCCATGATCTTCCCTTGTCACAATATAACCCTCTTGCCTTCCAGCTTCTATATGTGCAACGCTGGGCAGTTTCAGGGAGAAAAAGAACAGATGCTGTCCCAAACCCACACAGTGGTTAACACATAATTTCCCACCACTGCTTAAACTGAAATCACTGATAAATTTTGGTGTAGCAAGATCCCCTTTAGCTCTTGCCCTTGGATGTCTCTACTCTCATGCATGCATAAATGCAGTGATGATTTATGCCTGATTCACATTTTTAAGGCACTCCCAAGAAATAAGAGAAGAAAGCAGTAATTCATTGATCTTCCTGCCATAAGCCAGCTGAAAACTGGCTTATGGGTGAAACATGCATGAAAATCAAGACACCAGATCTTCCCATAAAAATTAGATGGCCCAGGATGTGGTGGGAAACCTAGCTGGCTAATTTTAAATTAGCTACATACCTAATTCTTGGATGGCTTATGTTATGAGACAGGATGTCTGTCTTGGTTGTCATATGTTGGCCTAATCAGTTTCAAACCTCATTCAATTTATCCATGCAGGTGTGAGAGAAGAATGAGGACTTTAAATAGTTAAAGATTTGTAAACATGGAGTATAAAATAGATGCTATCTATCTATCTCTTGGCTTTTAATTGCTGTGTTAGTTCTGTATGCTGCTTGAATTCTTCATTCAAGGTTTTTAATAGCAGCAAAAGACATCATCACCTCTGTTAAGAGTGAGGCTAAATATGATTACTGCTGCACTGTAGAGTAAGAATTTGTGGCCTCTGTCCTTACTTGCACTTCAAAACTTCTACTTTACTATTTTCAAAGGAACATTGTGTGAATTTAGCAAAAACCTACCTTCAGTTCTAGTTTTTAAATTTAAATTTGTGGCAAGATGTGCTTAAATTTATTATAAATGCAGCCAAGTAAGGAACAGGTTTTTTTTCTAATTCTTTTCAAAGGCGTGACTTTGTGTGTGCTGAGCTGATTATGTCAGGAGAGAGAGTCAAACCTTAGCTGGTGCAGGTGGCCTCATTTTCTCAGGGGCAAGTGGTTTCAGAAGTCTCTACTGGTGCACTTTGTGCCCTGGCAGGGATGGGGAGACGTGCTTGACTTGATGCTGACAGTTCCCTATATTCATATGCACACTGCCACTCTTACTCTTTCTTCATTTGGGCCTTTCACACAACACTGGCAGGGAAAGAAGCATTTCTTTTAGTAAAAAATGTGATTAGGAAAAGGTAAATTATCAGCAGGCTGCAGGCATAGCTTGTTCTCTTCTAAAACTCTAATTGTAACTCACTTTTATTTAGCACTTGACGTTGTTCATTTATTTCTGCACTGAAGGTTTCTAAATTCAGCCACAGGTTTCTAAAGTTTCATTATCTTCAACAGCAAAAAACAACATAGGTGAGCTATGTTTAATTCAAAAGAAGCAATAAAAGAACATACCCTTATTAAGCAATAATAGAGGAATCCTACTAAGCTATTTCTAAAATTGCTCCCCAAACTAGTGGTATGCATTTTTCAAATGAGTATTGGATACTCTTTTCCCAGAAAGAGCCAGTTAGCATTTATTATCAACTTCATGTTGGCGAATGACATATTGCAGTACGAGTGAAGTAGTTTTAAGATGTAGTTATTTATCTTTCTTCCTGTTGGATGAAGACTTCCTAATCTGAATTTATCTAAAGAAAAATTGACCAAGCAATCAATGTACTTATTCACAGACTAACTCTGGGTGAATCTCACACAGAAAATGCAGCAGGAGCTTATACCAAAGTCTAGTGAGATCTGTGTTACGAAATTGTGTTTTTCAGAGCTTTTACTATTTTGAGAAAATTGAAAAATATATTTATTATCCATTTGAATGACGTTAGTGATCTGAGAGACAATCACTTTACAAAGCATATTACATATTTGTACATAGACTTTGTGCTAATACATATGTATTGGGAAAAGTAAAGAAATAGTTTCTGAATTCTCAACTCTGTGCTAACTGTTGTTGTTAAACCTTTTTTTTTTTTTTAATTCAGAAACAAAATTCTCTGTGCAGCATTTTTTTTTTCTATTTTTTCTGGAAGGAAGAATTAATGGACCATTCAGAAAGAAACAATCTCTGCGAGGAATGATGCAAATCAATCATCTGTGAGTGGCTGATGTCCCCACGCAGTCACTTGTGCTGTGAAGCCTACGGGGGATGGAAGACTACCCCTCTCTGCTGACCTGCTTCCTCCTGAGGAAGGCAGTTTGCCATTGCCTGGCAGGTGGAGTTGTCTCCCTTCCTATCCTGCACTTCAGACCAGGATTGTCTCTCTGTCCGTCTTGCCCTCCAGTGTGCTCCAGGCTGAATTCAATGAAAGACATGGAAATGTTAGAGGGAAAGACTCACTGGGGGCAGAGAGAGCAGGTTCTGACAGAAATGTCAGTGGCTGTAATAACCACCTAGGATCCACACACTACTTAAAAGGAACACAGAACGAGTATTTGCAAAGGATGAAGTTTGGCGCTTTCCCCATGAAGTGCAGGTGAGCTGGCAGTTGTAAAAGAATTTGCAGAAGTTCTTGAGGAAAAGGAAAAAATGGTTTGATAAAATGGTTAGATTGGTCTTGGGACAGCAGGATGACTCTCCTGCTGCAGGCTGCTGGTTCAGGAGCAAAACCTCTGTAAGCCTTGATAAGCCGATCCTGCTCCACTGCTGCTGAGCCCACCCCCGTGTGAGAGCTGGATGGTGTGATCACCAGCATTTGTCTCCTGGACACATGCAATGCAAAGAGCTCTTCTGCAGAAAGAGGCAGGTGACGGCAGATTTCAGGGGAACTCATTTATTTCTTTGCTTTTCCAGTTTATTGCAGTGGTAGCCATTAAATAACTATTGCCTCAGGTTCTTAAATATCCTACTAATCACCTTTAATTCTGGGGCAGTCCACTGTGACCGCACAGGCTTTTTTTCTGTTAATCTCTACATTCCTCCACTGTCATCCATTTGTAGCACACCATTCCCATCACAGCTGTGGCCCAAACTGTTTCAGCAGAATTTCAGAAGGCTTTAGTAAAAAGTATGTTAGCTGTTTTTTCAAAAGGCTTTTTAAAACCCTGTCTGGCCTGGAAAGATGCTCTGGCGTGGGGCCCTCAGGAGGACTGAGGTGGGCTGCTAGCTCCCAACTTGCTTGTGAGCACCACCAGCTTTCTTACCAGCTCTTCTCTCCTGAGCTCCTACTCAGGGAAACTGGCATGGCTGTATTTCCCTTCATTTGTTCTTTTTGCAGTTCTACATCAGGCTGTAAACTCCCCAGGACATGTGCTTTTACACTCCCACAAAAATTTGGCTATCTCAGTGTTAAAATTACACGTGCCCCCAACTCAATAGTGCTGGCAGACCTCCTTGAAGTCATTACCTTTGGATCAAGGCCTAATGAACTGGAATTATTGGAGGAGGGGTTCATTATTACGCTGACACCTTTATGGCTAGACCAAATCCCTCAGTTCTGTACTGAGGCAAAACCCTCTGGGTTGCAGTCAGTAAAATCTGTAGGCTGGGGCCGGGTGCTGCATGTCTGAAGCAAAGCATAACAGTTTTAATTGACTACCTTTTTAATTGGTACCTAACTCCCTACGGATGCCATCTATCAACACGGAAGTGGAAACAAGAACTGCAATGTTGGCATTGTGTAGTTTAGCTCTGTCCAGGTGAAACACCCAACCAGCTTCTCTGTGGGGAGGAGACCACAGCATTACCAAGGCAGGGGTTGTTGGTTTGAAGTCACGGACTTTCCTTCTTTTAACCAGTAATGGGATAATATCGGACTAAATGCAGTCACCCGCAAATTTCACACAACACCTGGTGCACAAGCCTTTGGAGCACAAATTCTGTAAAAACCCAGTTTGAAGCGGGTTTGCTGCAAGCAGAGACCAGCTGAACTCTGCGTGCCATCAGGACCTCGAGCCTGATGCTGTGTGCAGTGGGGTGTGTTAGAGTATTGGAGAGACACAGTCCTGGGGTGGATCTTGTCCCTGTGGCCTGATCCTGCAGGCAGTGTATGGTATGTGAATTTAGGATACCCGATTAGAAGGTATCTAAGTGATACACAATTACTGATTAATAAATAGCAGCCCTGCAAAGGTTTTAGTCTGGAGCTTCTTTGTACCTAAACCGATTTAATTGGCTTTACACCCCGATTCTGGAAGTTCATCATGCGGTTTCCTGTGTGAATAGTCCCCTTGAAACCACTGGGAACAACTATCAAGGTCATAGCAAGCTCCACTGACCTGAAGCCTACTGCAGAAGTTTACACAGAGCACAATGTTTTAAACTGCACGCTTTCATTGAGTTGATAGGATTATTTGCACCACATCATGGTGAGTTGTTTGTACGGATCTGGGACTGAATATCCGAGGGGAAGTCTCCTTTTCAATTCCTTCCTCTTTTCTTGCTCTACAAATACCTCCTTCTTGCATTAGGCATTTCTACCTGCTGCGAAATGTATTGTCCACCCACAGTTACATCTGAAGAATGGCAGCAGAGAAGACAGAGTGTGTTATCCTGTGCTTGAGAGCCTTTGTAGAAACGTGGAGTGACAGCAGGATGATTGCAGCTTATGAAAAGAGGTAAATTATGGTTATCAAGGTGCATCGCTAGCAAGTTATTTCAATAGTTTGGATTTAAATCTTTTTTCATTTTGGGCTGTATTGCGGGCACTGAGCTTTAGGTTTCATGATGAAAGCTAGTGTATATTTAGTCTTAATTACAGTTCATCACTTCATTATTTTAGTAATTTTTATTAGTTTGCTACTTGAATCAGCACAAGGATAGAGTCACAATATCATTTGGAATAAAGGACTAATAATAACTCCACCAGAAAACGAGTATGTTGGGTAAAAATATATCGTCATATTGACTGTAATCAGTAATATCCAAAGTGTGAAGAAAGTCAGCACTGTCCCTGTCTGCCGGCACTGTTGTGCTCTCAGCTGCTGTTATCATTTCAAAATAATCCTCATCTGAGTGGAAGAGAATTCCTTCTGCTTTTCCTCAGGGTGACTCTTGTCCTCTCCATTCTTCAGTGTGATGTGTGCCAAGGAAGAATAAACAAAGGAACTTACTACATATGCTTTCCCATCTTACCATGTCCAGAAATCACTTTCAGAGCAACACTGTGTAGTCACAAAGCTGTACCCTGCTAGAAGATTATTGTGACATTATTATTAGAAATTGCTGCAGCAACAACTTGCCAAATGAACCGTTAAAAGCAAACGAGACTCACTGAACCACAATAAAATTCATTAAAGGCTGCTTGGGGCAACATACGGTCTTTGAAGGTCTTTATCTTTTTAACCATTCGTCTCTTCCAGTATCTGTGGCAAAGCCCTCCACCTCCCTTTTTATCTCACTGGAAAGTAAATAGCCATTTCAAAAACTGCAACTTCCTTTTAGTGACAGGCTCATTTGGTGGTGTGTCACTGCTAAATCAGACTATCTACTGACTTGCAGAAACCCTCAAGGTGGGCGGGGGGAGAGGGGGGGAAACACCTTTCACTATTAAAGAAAAGGGAATGCCGCTTGAGTCTTTTTGGCTGTTGCTTTCCCCCACGAGCTCTGAGTGACCTCTTTTGCAGTTGTTTGTCTTGAGGCTGACGTTTCGGAGATGCTAAGCCATTTTTTTTCTTCAGATGACAAAAAAGAAAAGTCCAAAACTGATTCCTGTGAACGGAAGAGCCACAATTACAGCCCACTGTGTGGAATGTGAGCAGCAGCTTGCCTGTGCCTTGGAGCATGTGCCAACACTGCCGTCTAGCTTCTGCAAAGGTTTTGTATGCTTCTGCTTCGCTTTAATTGCTGGCATTCATGTGTTACGCAGCTTTGTCGAGCCTCCTACGATGAGTCAAGGTCCTGTAGCGTTGGATTCTGCTCAGACACATGCGTTCCTTTCCACAGAGACGTTTAAAGTGGTCGCAGCGCAGGAGGAGTGATGGCAGATGGCTGCAGCAAGCAGCAGAGGAGACCTGGAGTGGCAACGCAGCAAGAAAACTCCTGGCCTGTGTTTGCAGATAGAGAACTGAAACCTGTCTGTCCAAACCCTTAACAGGATTTTTGGCAGCGCCGCAACTCAGGCAAACCGGTCCAGGGTCTGTTCAGTGTTCCTCATCACAAAGTGCTGGTGATGTCCTTGGATGGGGTCCTCTGATGTGTCACTCTCCTTTGGGCTCAGTGTTGTCTTCTGCTTTCCTGTGTCTCTCTCTTACCCTTTCCCTTTTCTCTCTCTTACCCTTACCCTTTTCTCTCTCATACTATGCATACACCTTCCTTCCTCTTTCACCACAAAATTCGTAGCTTTTCTGCTTTGTCTGTGGTGAGCTGAGAGCTACTTGTAGTCTGCAGTACTGTCCTTGGTTTTATATGCATTTTATGGCTGGTCACTATTGGGATTTTACAAGATTGTTAGGTTTCCATTTACCATGAACTTGCATGTATTTACCAAAATCTGTATTTATAGAGCTCTTAGGTTAAAGGTGGCATTACATAAATAATAGAGAGGATAATGAAAGCATATAATTATTATTAAGCAGACAAAGGGCCCTATTACGGTCTAGTTTGAACTTGCGTAATTCCTCCATTTTCAAACAGCATGTAATGCAGGAATGAAGCAACTATGTTCCAGCTTCCTTGGTGGTGTAATTTGGGAGAAATTGATTATCATCAGTATGTTAAAGTGATTTAAAGCCGAATTTAGCCCACAGTTCCCTGGCTAATGATTTTGTTTCCATCTTTGACTGTTTTCAATAGCCTTCATTAAATAACTCAGCTATAACATTAGCTATCCCTACATATTCTTATCAACTTTATAATTAACATGTATCCATGGGTACTGCCTCATGTTAGTGAGGCAAGGTCATATTTGAAGGAGAATCTTTTGTATCTGTTGAAGCAGCTGCTAGTGTGGCTGCATACCTGGCTGAATCAATTAATCATTTCATTAAACAAAAGTCCTCTTAGCTATGCTAATCAAAAGCATGCTGATCACTGTTTTTACAAACAACCCCCTGAAACCTAAACAAACAAACAAACAAACCACTTCAAGACTAATAAACCAGCCTTGCTCTGATAAATAAGCTATGCTCTATTAAAAATTATTAAAAAGAAAAACAAAGATCTGAGGGGGATTTCATCAGCCTTATGAATATATTCCTTTAGGGATGATAGCGTTGGCAAAAGAGCCATCTCTGGTGATCTCACCTGAATGGTTATTTGCTGCACCGTTTTGAATGTGAAGGGAAACACATGCCTTCTGCTCTGCACTGCCTCTTGGTGGGTTGAGGAGGGGATGATGGATGCTGAGCGCTGGGTCCAAGACCTTCTCCTGACATCCCAGAAGCAAGCTGAGGGGGTTTCATGTGCTTCTTGATTTCCGTGAGCAAGCACATGAGCACAAGCTGCACAGAGAGTTTGAAAGGAAAGGGGAGGTGGGACATACAATGTGGGTGGTAACACTCTAAGTGAGCAGCTTCAGAGACAGCTTTTTCAGGGAGAGGTGGCTCAGTGTATTGAGAAATGAGGGAACTGGCATCAAAACTGCATAGGAAGCAAGTTTTTAATATTGCTATTGACAATATGCTGAGCTTATATTCTCTTCTTTCTAATGACTAGATATCTACTAGGTATCTTCTTAAATTATGTTCAATCCATGTCTCAGGAACTTGATCCTGGACAATGATCCTTATGGCCTTGTCTTCAAGACAATGCATAACTTCTGGGCAGAAGAACCAAGGTAAATGGTTACCTCAATGTGGGAAACTGAGCTGAATCTAAACCTCAAGTGTCTGGGATTTCTCTGGTTAACTGGAGCTCTGCAGTTTATGTTTTTTGATTATTTTCGTGGCACAATGTAGAGACTTTTCTTGCTGAGACGGCAGCCTAAAATCCTTGGGATGTATAGGATTTTAATTGCTTTCCCAGAAGAGCTACTGTTATTGGGCAAGTAGCAGAGGCAAGCAGAAGGGTGGGCTGCAGAGACAGAGGCTGCAAGCTGTGTCACAGAATCACAGAATGGTATGGGGTTGGAAGGGACCTCTGGAGAGCATCTAGTCCAACCCCCCTGCCAGAGCAGGTCCTCCTAGAGCAGGTTGCACAGGAGCGTGTCCAGGTGGGTTTTGAATATCTCCAGGGATGGAGACTCCACCACCTCTCTGGGCAGCCTGTTCCAGGGCTCTGCCACCCTCAAAGTAAAGAAGTTCCTCCTCATGTTTAGATGACTAGAAGGAGGTATTTCTGAACCTCTCTGGGGGCTTTGATCCACTCCCATGTTACCTGGAAGAAATAAGTTATTTCTTGCTGCTGCCACCATCCTGACATGGCTTCAGGCAAATGTTGGGATGTGGAGCTGAGGATGTTCCTTAGACCCTTGGGGCTGGCTCTGGCATGGTGCTGTGATAGCAGCACAGGAGAGAGAAAAGGGAGAACAGTCAGGGCAGGGCAGAGAAAAAAAAAACACTTGAGACTCTCAGTCCTCTTAATATCTACAGGAATATCGCACTGTTTTCTCAGTTAGCTAAAGACCATACCATAAAACCAGCAAGTTTGCTTTCTGCCTCCTTGCTGTGGCTGTGCAAGGTCCTCGTCAGCAGCAGGGACGTTTTGGGGTGTTTCACCTCTGTTGCGAGCAGTCATAGGCTCTGCCTTGGACTTCCAGCAACCAGAGACAACAGGGAGGTCTTGGTCCTTCAGAGGCTGTTGCAGAGACATGCCTGAGCTCACCCAGAGGTTGAGGTTCTCAGCCGGGGGGAGAGAAATTCAGCCAGTGCTGCTGCTTCCCCGCAGCCCTGCAGAGCTCCAGCCTGTGGTTCGGACAAGCAGGTTTGGGAGCCGTGCTGGGGAGTATTTTGCCATCTCGTGGCAGCCGGCAGGTAAACCAGCTCTGCCTGATCACGAACCCTCCCCACCTAGAAGGAACAAAGCCAAAATGGGCGATTTCCCGAGCAAAATGGCACTTAGAAGGTTTGCAGCAGAGCGGAGCAACCCAAAAGCCTGCAGTGACCGATGCCTGCCCACCGCCAGCTATCGCTGCATGCCAGTGGTGGCACCTGAAGTGGAGGTGGAGAAGCCACAGCCTGGGACAGGCTGATGTGCTTTTACCACGGCCGGCCAGCACTGCGCCCATTGCTCCTGCTCGTGGCACCGTGCTGCTGGAGGTGCCCAGCTGGCCAGGGGAAGGGCATGGTAACTGCACCTGGTGGCTGCCTGACCACCATGCTGAGGACAACAGTGCACCAAAGCGGAGCTCTCGTTGCATGGATAGGGAAGGACAATTCGGCCAGTCAGCTTTGGGCCAAACAAAAAGTCAGTGGAGAGGCGGAGACCCTCTCTGTCAGCACAGAAACCTCTGTAGGGGCAATACCAGGGTCTATGGCGAGTTTCCTGTGTTTGTGGGGTGATGCAGCTAACATGGGAGATGCCAAAAAAACCCAGGAATTGAATAACCTGAGCCTCCTGCTGACCTTCCCCAGAGGAGCTGTTGCTGCCGTGCCTGAGAGGCCACCATCCCTGGTACTAGGGCAGCCCAGAGAGAGGGCTGGGGAGGGTGGCTGTACCCACCTAGGGGCTGCAGATCCCATTGTCAACAGCTTGGGCACTGCTGGTGCTGTGGCTGCTCCTCAGGAGGACACGAGACCAAGGTCTCTCCACGCTCTCACTCCCACAAAGCTGCTGGTGAGGAAAACCCCCACCACTGACCAAGGAACCCCAAAGGACCTTACAGGCCAGGAAGCAGGGCCAGGCCTCCCAAGGGGAAGGCTCTTCCCAGGCTTCAAGATGTCTGTGGGCAGGATGAGGTGCTGCTGGTCTGTGTGGGCTGTGGGAAAGGAGCCAGAAGACTTGAGCTTTTCTCAGCTGTGTAGAAAGCCAGCACCCCAAAACAGATCCATTGAACTTCCAGAATTGCTTCTTTTCAGCTCATAAAGCAACATCTCCCTGTGAAGAGCCTGGGGTACCTTTCATCTTCCTATGTTGGTGACTCAGGGAGTCCAAGAGATGGAGTCTCCAAGCGGATCTAAAAGCTTAGACATGCACACAGTGTTTATGAAGTTGACTGAGTAGGGCCGTTCTGGACACAGATCCCTCCTGTTGTGCCAGCAATGGGAGTGTGCAAGGGTCTCAGTGCCACCAAAGCATGTCGGTCCCAGCTCCAGCTGCTGGGATAAGCCTGTCAGTCCATGTGTGTTTGTGAGCAGGAAGCTGGACCAGCTGGAGCGAAGGGGTGAGTAAAAGGGCTCAGGGTACGGGCAGGCTTATCAGATGGACTGAAAGGCTGTGCTGGGACTCAGGGGAGAGAATCACACAACGGTCTAGGCTGGAAGGGACCTTTACAATCATCAAGTCCCTGTGAATCCATGTATGCTTTCACTAGAGAACTTCAATCCTTACCCGCTGTACAGGAGAAAAGGGACATGCCGGGCTATGGTCATGTTTTATGCAAGTTCTGGTTGTGCTACACACAGGTGCTGCACAAGACAGTACCCTGTCTGTGGCACTGCAGACCCGGCCTTGTCAGCGTCTTTTTTTTCCCTCACTTATGTGTATGTATGTGTATCCCTTGCAGATATGCACCAGTACACATCAGTAGAGACAGACCCTGTTCTCTTTCCTAATAACCGTTTATGCTTTATTTACTTTCTCTTTTCTAAGAGCTAATTATGCTTTGTTTGCCCAACTGGCCACGGCGCTCCTCCTCCAGCCTTCTGATGAATCCCTCCGTACCCTCGGGGACAACGCCCAGCTCCGGGCAAGACTCCCAGGGGCTCCGCCATTGCCTAGGGCAGCCCCCGGGCCAGGAGGCTGCTCTCCAGCTGCCGCTGGGCAGCCACCCGTGCTCCGTAGAGGACGAAGCCCCAGCAAAGCAGCACCACAGCAGCCAGCACCTGTGGGACAAAGCGCATTACACGTTGGTGGGGAGACCCCTGAGGTCCCTGTGCAAGAGGCACACACGGGCCTGCTCCCCCCCGGGCGGTAAACCTGCCCTACAGGCCGAGCGGCCTACAGCCCTGGTCCCCCGCCGCAGATTACCGCAGCCCCGTCTCCCATCCCATCCCATCCCCCGCACTGGGACCGGTTCCCCCGCGCCGCGCATCCCCGCCGCCCAGCCCCGGCCCGCACCAGGGAGCAGAGCGGGCGCGGGTCCCTCCTCGTCTCCAGCGGAGCCATACCGCCCCGACCCTTCCTCTTCCTCTTCCTCCTCCTCCTCCTGCGCTCCGCTCCGCCCCGCTGGCGACACCTCCCCGCCCAGCGCGGAAGTAGCGTCAGAGAGAAGCGCCGGCTCCCGGCAGGCCTGGCGGCGGGCTGGCGCTGCCCGGCCGGTGGCCTCGGGGCCGGGGGGGGGGGGGGGGGGGGGCCCCCTTTCTCCCCGTTCCCCGCGGGTGGTTGTGAGGGAAGGGGGTTCCTTCCTTCCTTTCTTCCTCAGGGTGGGCGGCTGTTAGTTCTCCTCGGCTGCTGCTGGTCTCCATGCCTCCCCGCTG